ACTGGGAATAATTGGGCCACACTAAATAATATCTGATGAGTGCCAGAGATATGTGTTATTCAAGGTGTAAATGTCACAATCATCTCAACTAGAAGAAATGTAGAAAATAAATCTCTCGTAAAGGCTAGCAACATAAAATGCATATTCATTTTGAAGACAAATATATTTTAAAATAAGTTTTTTCTTCTCAGAGTTAGTGTTCCCTGTTTTCATCTGTAATTTACTGTCATTCATTACTTCATTCATTTTAATTCCAGTAAATTAGTTTTATTTTCTAATCCTTCTTAGCCACTCATTCTGACAGATGGAAAACTATCAGTATTAGAGCTCAGATTCTTCACTGTTCAGGGATTTTCATGGGGTTTTCAAACAAGAATGGATGCAGTAATTGTTCAGCTTGTACAGGATGAAGTTTGGCTCAGAAAGCAGCAGCAGTCATTTGAGAGCATTTAAAAAAGGAAAAGTTAATCATCTCAGTCTTTCTGTCCTTGTTGAAGTGAATGTGAATTCTGTCACCAGACACACAAAAGTGTTCACCGGATTATTTCAAAGTGCCTAAAAGCAGGAAATAATTCTGATTTTTTTTTGCTCTAGTACCTTATCTAGAAGGTATTGTTTCTGTTTCTCCTTCTCTTGCATAAGTTCTCTGACCTGAGGGCACTAAAAAAGTGAAAGAAATATACTTTGCTTTAGCACCTATGCCACTCCAAACCTATGATTATAGACGAAGTCCCTGATGATGGTCTTAGTTGTGTGAGGTGCAAGAGTTCTAGAATGGCCACTTTGCATGCTAAATGCTGACTGTATTTAATTTTTTTTTTTAATAGCAGAATTTCACCTCCCAGCTGAATTTTGTTGGTGCATGATCTTTGAAGAAATAGAATAGAGCCGGATTTTTCCTGATGCACCATGCTAGCCAAGCTCTACTGTTTCCAGATCTTTATTTGGATTAAACTTGGCCAGTACTGGTAGTTTTCAGAAACTCCTGTTTCTTGGGTTTTTTTTTTTTTCTGTTCTATTACTTATTCCCAAGTATAATCCTGAGATAGATGTGAAATACAGAAAAAAAAATGCTTTAAACACTGGTCTCTAGCTTGCTCTATACATCAACAAATTATTAAATTGAACCACAGAAGTAACTATTCCTTTCTATACTTTTCCAAATAGAAAACTTATCATAATAGGAAAGTTATATTAACTTTAATGTTTTCATCTCTGAGCTATCAATATATTATCATATAATACACACTCTATATTTCATGTTATTGTCCACCAGACATAAAAATCTTAGTAAGAATAAATGTGAATGATTTATGCCTGATACTCAGAGTATTATTTGCAAATTTATAGTTACCCTAAGAACTGAATACGCTTTGCCAATTTAAAGTGTATTCATATTACCTAAAAAGCTTTTCCTTCAGTACAAATACAGCTTTCCTTTGCAATGATATAACTATCTTAAGGAATGGTACAATGAATTTTTTATGATATTTATAACACCTGTTACAAAATGGTGGCAAGGGAGGGAAAGTACTGGAAGGGAAAGCTTGAAATAAAATTCCTCCGTAAATATTTTATCATGAAAATTAAAATCAAGTGTAAAGAAGCTAATTAAGCTGGGTTTGAATCAGTTCTGACCCGGAAGCAGGTGAGGGGAAGTGCATACCTCTGGGCATGCACGTGATCTATGAGGCCTATGCAGTCCCCCTTGCCTATGTGCAGAGCTTTGCTCAATGTTTGGATGAAATCCCCAGCTCAAGGAGAGCCCGGGCGGCTCCGAGCAGTGCCAGTGCAGCGCAGGGTTGCACACTCACGCCAGGCAGCAGCGGCAACAGGCGGCAGCATCGTTCCCTCCGCAGGAGCACAGGAACAAACCCCTCTCCTCAGGCATGCCGGAGCTGCCGCCATCTTCCGTCTCCAGAAAAGGTCCCCAAGGACCTGCCACCCTCCTCCAGCCTCACACCATCCCAGCTCATACAGACACATTCTGTTTTCTCAGAACCCTTTGGTGCAGCCAGGACAACCCGGCTCAGGTCAGAGCTCCAGGGATTCCTTATCCTACACAAAATGCTCCCAACTATGAACAGCCCAGCCAGCAATGCCCCTGCACAAGCACTGTGCTGCGTACATGTTCTGAGCATCTGAATAACCTTAATCAACCACAATCATGACTCAAGTCCAAAGTATGTTTTAAAATGACTCAAGTCATACAGCAGTCCATGCCTGCTTTCAGCATCTTATTCATCTTCCTGTGTCTCCATTCTGAATGTCCAGGATGTTGCCTGATAATTCACAAGAGGATTTCACGAAATGCAAGAAAAGAATGAGAAAATTGGCAAAAGAATGTGAAAGTGGCAAAAATATATCTCATCCCCACCTTATAGAAGAGGAGAACCATACATTCTGGATGAATAGACAAATGGATGAACAAAAAAAATGCTTGGATGATCAGGCTCAGAGAGCAATCAATGCATCATATTCTACTGGGAGGCTGGTGCCCGGTATAGTACAACAGGGACATATTCCCAGACCTGTCCTGTTCAGCTTCTATGATGGACCTAGAGGAAGCTCATAAGTTCTTCTTTCCCTTTCTTCTCTCCCTCTTACATCTGTTTTAATGATCTTTAAAAAAAAAAAAAAAACAAAAAACAGACCAGAGAGAACTTATCAATGTGCCATTAATGAATAAATAATGAAAAGAAGAAGATATGTTTTTGTGCTCTCTAGCTTATAACAGTCTTTCTGTTACTTATAATTACCATAGAACAATGTAAGTAGAAATACAATTTTTATGTGGACAAATCCCCAAACCTCTTAATAGCATCCTAGTTATTTTTGAATCATTCTAAACAATCACATAACAAAAAATTGATTTTCTCAGCAGGAATTTATGACTCAGTTTCCTAGAAGAATTTCTTTTGGCACCAGCATATATCTTCAATTCATAAAACATCTAGATGTGAGTTTGGCCAGGAACATAAATATTCGTTTTCAGCACTTACATCTTAGCTCACGTTAGCACAGCATCAACCAGGTGGTTGTGCTACCATGCTCAGTGCTGGGTGGGTGTGAGAAGCCCCAGGCTCAGCCTTCACCCATGCACTTTGCTTAGTGAGGACCCTGGGCAGAGACAAGATCTAGGCTCTGGGTCACAGCCTGGGGCATCAGGGCTGCAGCACTGCAAGGTCTCCTTAATGACTAGACCTGAATCATACCCAAGTTTTGCCATAGGTGGCCAAAACAGACTAGAACACTGACATAAAAATGAAAGTTAAAAAAGATCAAAATTAAAACACAAGAGAGGAAGAGAAATAGCAATACTAGGACAAATGAATTTTAAAAGGATCATACTATTAAGCTGTTGAAAAAGCCTGACATTTTGCCTCTGTATGGAATTAAAAATTTTGACATGCTGAAGAGTTCATGAGTGACAAACCCAGCTGTGATAGTGTTTAAATCTTCAAAAGGATCAAATAACTCTTTGTCTTTTGCATCATCCTCCTGAAACTGCTTTCAAATCTGGCTATGCCTGTATGGTTCTGAAGAGAGAGATCATTGTCAACACAAATTAAATCTTTGATTTAAAAAAAAATCATTTCCATATTAATGATCAAAATATTTGTATTCTTGCCAGAGGTTTCTTAAGAAACAAGGCTTGTACACTTGTTAAGTTCTAGCTCCAACAGAGGTGACAACATTTAAAGAGAGGGCCAAGCATAGGGTCAAGTACTCTGAAGAACGAGATGAAGGAGAGCTTCCAATTACACATGCAGAAGCAAGTAAATAAAATTCAAAAAGTTTCATTAGCTGGAATTATTATAAAGTATTTCTTTTGATAGATCCACTCACAGCTACAAATAGAGAGTTAACAAGGATCAGTGTCTTGGCATGTAAATTCTGCAGAAGTACTGCAATAGGCAAGATCTCCAGGAGTTTCCACCTAAAACCAGAACAGTCGGAGATAGGGGGACTTGTTATCCAGTCAGAGCAAACTAGTGCCAATTTCCATCTGCAATAACCATCTGTTATTGCATGTTTAACATTTGCATAAGGCATGAGGTAAAATTAGGGATTCAGTAAGAAAACTGAGCACAGATATTTCTCATAATACTGTTTAACCAGTATCTTCTCAGAAGTCAGCAATGGAAGAAAGAAACCTGAAGACAGGAATGTGCTAATTAAGGTGCAGAAATATTAATCAACAAATCTTAAGGAAGAAGACAGGAAAGAGCGGACTTAGTTACTTGCAAGACCTGATGCTAGTTTACAGGAAATGAAAACAGGATAATAAACAGGAAAAGAGATGTTCAGGGAATTTCATCTAAGAATGAGAAAGAAATGTTTTACTCAAAACCCTAGCTTGAAGTACTCCAGTAAACACCTTCAAAAATACAAGCTGAAAAACTATACCTCTCAGAACTCTCAAAGACATGTTCATCCTAAAAGGATTTTTCTTTTGTCAGATCTGAAGGTCAGTGGAGATGCTGAAACAGTTAGAGCAAATCTTGTTAAATAAATTTTAATAGCATATGTTATTGTTTAACTTTTTACAACTTCAATCCAGTTTTGTAAATCTATGGGCTTATTTTTTATTATTTAAATCTTGCTACAAGTAGCATGACTGACTAAGCAAAACATTCCCCTTTCACAGAGTTGGCAATTTTTTCAAAACTTTCTGCTTCATCTACTGCCACTTTTCCCCAGAGTACCAAACAGTAGCAAGTTTTACAGTCTCTATGCTGCACAGCTGATGTGCGTACGGATGCAGCAATCCCCAGTGACCAAGGACTAGGAAGGAAAGCTGTTGCTTGTAGCAAGGCATGGCAGAGGAGAAAGGAATTTTCTATTTTTTTACAAATCTTAATTTACTACATTTTAGGGAAAAAAAAAAAAGAGGTAAAAAGTTGTTCTTTATCATCATGAAAATACCTAATACCTACAAAAGTAGGTTTATCTAAATACTTAAAGAATAAGATACTCTTAGGACTTTGCAATTTTTATTCCCTGGAGCTAGTATTTATTCGGTTGGGTTTTTTGGGTTACAGTCTTTGTAACAAATAGGAAAGAGAAATAATCCCCAAGACCAAGGCTGATATCTTTTTTTTTTTTTTTTAGGACATTGTGACAGAGATTTTGATGTATAGTACTATGAAGGGTTAGTTTGAATATTAATCTTCCTTGTTCCAGACTCAATGATTATTGTGAAAATATTATTATGTTTGATTTCTTTCATCAGAAAATTTTGTAGTGTAATCGATATTAGTGTTATTTTGGTTCTTGTGGTTTTGTTCACAATAATGCAAACATAGTCTTTTTTTTTAAGGATGCTGTATAAAGGTCTGAATCCTTCGGTCATGACCGGCTTAGGAAAAGGATTAGGAAAGTGCAAGGATTTAATGAAATATTTAAGAACTTTTCTGAAGAGTATATTTGTAAGATAGATTATTTGGCAGGATAGAAAAAGAAAAAAAAAACACTTCCGATATGGTGGTCTTGCCTTCATTACAGATGGATTTGGGAGTGGGCCATAAACTGCAGCAGACCTGATGCAGAGAGGCACTAGTTTGGCCAGAAAAAAAAATCTTTCTCAGCTTCCCGGACTTCTAGGCAGTGTTTTGTTAATAAAACATATGCCTGCTCTTGTAATCTTTACATCTCACTAATCCCTGCTCACACAATAGGCTTAGTTCTGTTGTGCCTTATATCACAATGAGCAAGTAGTTCTGCTGAAGAAAACAATTCTAGAAGAGAATCTGAGATCGTAATCAGGCCAACTAATGTGAGGTTCCCTTAATGTCCATCAAGGTGCAAATCATGTCTTGCTAATGACTGTGGCTTCATTCTCTCATTTATCCTCTCCTTTTCTTTTCCCATAAGTTTCATTCTGCCTTTCACTAAGCATCACTCATATTTCCTAATCATAGGTCAGATCTCAATTCAAAATCATCCTTAAGAAAGCAATCTGTGTTACTCCTGAGTACAATGTTTGTAAGGAAGTTGTTCCTTGCTCATGGTGGTATGGGGTGGACCTTTTCCTTATTTCTTGTCTCATTTCAAGGAACTAAAAGGTCTTTAGCACTAGCATGAAGCACCTTCTCTGAATCCACAGCCCAGAATCCTTCACTCTTCTTCATTCTTCATCCTTCTAGGATGTAGGAAGCCGAAGGCATTTCATTTAAAATGGGTCTTCCTTTTTGGATGGTAAAAAGGCGTTTCATTTAAAAGCATAAAGAAGAAAAATGGGTCTTCCTTTTTGGATGGTAATGCACGCATATACTTTCAGCTATGGAATTTTTTTTCGTATTATTTGCCCGATAACTATGTAAAATGAACAGTTTTTAGGAAAAGGGATGTGAATGTATGTTTACTTTCTCTCAAAAAAGCAATTTCATGTTCTCGGCAGGAGGTTGGCATACTCATTTACTGTTTCTACCTCAGGATCCTTTTCTGATTTGTTATGTTTCATTACAGCATAGAAAACCTTTTTTCTTCAGCCCATAGACTTGTGGTTGAGGTAAACTCCCAAAGGATATCTGAGTCTGAATCTCCTGGCGAGAGGAACTGAATGTTTTTCCTTCTGAATGCATGGTTTACACCTGGATCTCTGGTATGTAAAGGATGGAATCCCTAGTGACGTCTCTGAAAAGCAAGCTGTTGCCATATTTAAATCTGTCTAACCTGGTGTGTTTGACACACTCTGACAATGCTTACCAGACCTGCATCAGGTAGAGACAGATCTACGCTCTGGATCTTAATAAGGTGTGAGAAGGAACTGAGACATTTGACAGTTGGTTTTATTAAAATTAAGACGTTTCCATGATTTCCAGACTAGTACTCAAGTGCAACTAAAAGGTTTAAGTACCACTATCTAGTACAAATTAGCAAAGATTTTCAGCCTAAAAATTTCAAATTTAGGCATGTTCTGTTTTAGGAATGCAAGTTATTTACAGTCTGCTCTCAGATCTACAGCCTATAGACTTACAAGCGTAACACTGTTTTGCATACTGGAAGATATTTAGTTCTTCAGACAGGAGAGACATAGGAATCTCAAGCTATGGGAAAGTTGGGATGTTGGATTAGGAATTAGATAATCAAAATCCAGTGTAATCTCTCACAACAGAGTCTGTTAAAAAGAATCTTTGAAGAAAGAATCTTTGATGCAGATTCTTTCAGAAAGTTTAAAGGGCTCCCTTTAGATGTTATGAATTATAACGGATCCTATGTACGTTGTTGTATGTTCAACATCTGATGTTAGAAAAGAGCTTCAGGTCATGGTGAAGAAGCACAATGTAACTACAGAGTTGAAGAGATTTAATTTTGTTTTAACCATTGCTCTAAAAAGTGTATTGAATTGTGTAAGAATTGTGTAAGTTATGTCTAATAGACTACATAGGGAGGGGGGTGGAACTTAGTCTTTTCCAAAACAGTTTATCATGATTATAATTAACATCAGAAAGGATTTTTTTTTCTCATTTATTTTCTGAAGGCAAGGACAATTAAGCCCATTAAGCAAAAGGTGGAGTATAATGGACAGATCTCCTCTGGAGGTAGCCATTTTGCATTTGATCGGTAGCTTGAGATGCACAAACATCATAATAGCCTCAAACCCGAAATTTTCGCTTTTATTTTCTGGTGGAATCTCATGGTCAGGAAGACAGAGCTCCAATACGTGTAAAGTGTAAAGTGTAAAGTGCAGGACATTTTAATGTCGGGAGTAGGAAGATACAGGAGGTAGACACTGCTTAAAACAGAGGCTGGTATAACTCATAAATTAATGCAAGAAGTGGGGAGAGGAAATCTAGAGGAAATAGAAGCAAGTAGTAGGGTGTCAGATTGTACACAAAATCCCAAACCTAGAATGGAATTAATGCTCTCAAGAGAAAACTGAACTGCAAAGTGTTAATTTATTTAAAAAAGATAACAATATCCAAAAGCGTTTTACCTGTATTGTGTATTTAAATTACACAAGCCTATCTGCAACTTTGTAGATTATGAACCCAGAGTCGGGTTATTTTCCAAATTACATGCTTTCCCTGAGCATGTAATGAGCCACAAGGATTTTAGTAGCTGTGTCAAACAAGAATAAAATATTAAGCTGAATGTTTTACTAGTATTCAGAAGATGAGAAAGTCACAAATATTTTATCACTATGAACATCAAAACATTTAGGTGTAATCTTAAAGAAGGTTCAAAACCTGTGCAAATATCTTACACAAAATTAGCAGTATCCTTGTGGTTGTGACTCATGTTGCAATTTGACAAAATAAACTCATTCTATCTACTTTTAATAGATTATTTTTAAAAATTAACAAGTAAATGCCTTTAAGAAAGTGGCTTGCTAAACTAATTAATTATCTTACCTTAGCCCTATACAAACTACAGTGTCAAGGTAAGGTCTCAATTAAGACTGCATTCATAGATTCACAAATAAATTTAGCAGATATCAAATCAAATTGTGAACCTGATCCAACAGAGCAAGAGATCCTGAACGATCCTTTGCTTTTGCAATGCACATTTCACCTTCCACTCTGCTTCAGGGACCACCTTTGTAGCTTTGGATTAATCAAGGAAATGCAAGCATTTTTTTTCAAAATAACAAAAAAAACAGATATTGAAATCCTCTTGCAGTTTAAAAATTTTTCCACTGAATCATGATGAAAAGTTTCATCATTTGAAAAAGAAATCAATTAAGCAACTACAAATTAAAGGGTTTTATGAAAATATCAGTTCTGAAATATGTCTATCCTATATTCTTGGAAAATATACCTTCACTTTCCGGCTGATTTTAGTGGTCCATAGTCAGAAGAAGTACCATGTCTGCTAATGCTTTCATTATTTCTTAGTGTAGTCTGGATTTCTAACAAAGAATAAAGGAACTAACAACAACAAATTCATCACCTGTCGCGATGACTTTTGTCCTGAAAATATAAGATGCTTTATTTTATCAAACTAAATTTTACTAATAAACTAACTTTCCCCAGGTTCAAATCATATTGGTCTCAAATATCACAAGAGTATATATTCATACTAAATTGAGATCAGAGAATCACAGAATCATAGAATCGTTAGGGTTCGAAGGGACCTCTAGAGATCATCCAGTCCAATGCCCCTGCACACTCAGAGTCACCTAAAGCACGTGACACAGGATTGCCTCCAAGGATCTCTGGAGAAGGAGACTCCACAACCTCTCTGGGCAGCCTGTTCCAGGGCTCTGTCACCCTGTTAATAAATTTTCTGAACTTTTGGCCGTTTCTGGCTGTTTCCTCTAGTTCTGTTGCTGGCCACCACTGAAAAGAGACCCCATCCTCCTCACTCCCTCCGTTTAGGTATTTATAGACACTGATCAGGTCCCCTCTCAGCCTGTTCAGTTTTTCAGGCTGAACAGGCCCTTTCCTCATACGGCTGATGTTCCAGGCCCCTGATCATCCTTGTGGCCCTGCGCTGGACTCTCTCCAGCAGCTCCACATCCCTCTTGTACTGTGGAGTCCAGAACTGGACACAGTACTCCAGATGCGGCCTCACCAGGGCTGAGTAGAGGGGCAGGATCACCTCCCTC